AATTAATTAGTTAGCAAATTTCTTTTAAATTTTTTTTTTGACTTATTTAAAATAAAAAAATTACAAAAAATAGGAAGATTCCGTTCTTATTCGGTTCTTGATCTAGAACCGAGAACAGAATCAAACCCGTCAGTTCTCGATTCAGATACTCATTTGAGTATTTAATTTAAGAAAAACCGTTCGATTTGGTTCATTTTGGTACTGTCTGATTTGGTCCGATTTAGTTCGAGAGTTTTATCCAACTCTATCTAAAACTTAACATGAATGAGAAAAAGACCATTCTACAATTCATCCAAAACTTGAAGAAATTTTTGATTCTTCACGTATTCAAAGTCTTAGTTTTTTATTTGTTCATTTGAAGAATTACTTTACTTTTGGTGTTCTTCATTAAGGCTTAATAAATCCTTCGAACTATTTGCTATTTCAATAATTTAAAAGTCATAACAGAATAGACAAATATCATTTGAGAAAAACAACATATTCTTCGTGTTCAAGCTTTGTCGTATTTTTATATTCATCATCTTTTTCCTTTATTTTCTTTTTACATAACAATAAGGTGCTTCATAAGACAAATTGATGACTCACCTCCCCGGGAACCTTCACATTGCAGCGTATATTAATGTTTTTTTCACAAAGGTCTTCGAGCTTGTTGGGTACGATTAGCTAATTTTATTGCAGCAAAAATGATGAGATTTTTATTATTGCTTGAAAGCTGTATCTAGGTCGTATATCCATGTGCCTTAATTGGCTTGAGGTCAGGTCATTTACCCATGTTATGTGTTATATATGTTGGTGTCTGGATATCCCATGTTTCAACTTCCAAACTGCTCTTTTGTGGTCAAGATTCACACGACTCCCTTCTAAACAAATAAATTGGAAATTTCCCAGAACTTTCATATTAAAATTAAAAATTGATAAAAATTTAGCACCGACTATCAAACTAGTTTGACGTGTTTAGTTAAAATTCTTAATTATGTATTCTCTGATTAGGCCACTTTTCAACTGAATGAGCTCCCGTTTGGCCTCCATTATTTCTTATTAAATTATGGTTAATTTTTTCTTTTTTCTTATCAACCACACATTCTCCAATAAAATAATATTACAGGTACACCCAAAAAAATTTCCTTCTTTTTTAACCACACATTTTTCAAAAAATTATTATTCGTCTCATTATAAAGTGAAATAATGAAAGTCAAACGGGCGCTGAAAATCTTGTGTTAGAATGGAATTATAAGTGACGTGAATTATTCAAGAATTGAAATTTTGTTCTTTTCACCTTTTTATGTTTGGTCTCGCGTGACTTTCTCCAATTTTTTGTTGGTTTGAGAGTTTCTTAGAAAGAAAGAATTGAACATTACGTTACATATGGCACTAACATTTTTATCAAACTATAGATTGTACATAGGATGAAAGCTGGAAAAGATGAGGGATTAGTTGGATTTTGGCTGTTAATCTTAAATCTGCAATACATGGCCCACACAAATAGATATATACAGAATTTGTATGTTTGTGTTGTCTTTATGAGAGAGAGAGAGAGAGCGGGGATGGGGATGGGGATGGGGATGGGGATGGGGTGGGGTGGGATGGGATGGGGGGATAAACAAACAATGATGTCAGTGGCAGAAAATCTTTGGCATGTTCTTTGTGCTTTGGACAACTCTTGACAACTTTAAATTCACACAATGCAAGACAAAATGTAATCCGTAGAATGCATATTTTAGTATAATTCTTATAGATTAAGAATTATATTATAATAAATAAATAATTTTACGTAAATAAATGCAGGGTAAATTTCACTATGGTTTCCAACCTTTTCACTTTGTTGTAATATCGTCATTATTCAATATTTATTCCCCCCCTGTCTCCAACTTTTTCATTAATTCGCTCACATGGTCCTCCTTGACAATTTCTATCCAACTTTCCTGTTAATATCACACCAAAAACAATTCTACCCTCTTACTTACATAAACTAAAATGAAAACAAGAAAGTAAAATAAGAACAAACAATAAAAACAAAAACAAATAAAATAAAATAATCAAAAGAGATGAAAAAAGAGGAAAAAACAATTATTCTTCTTCACCTCACCTCATGATACCCAACCCCCATCAAAACAAAGGCGGATGGAGAGGGGGCCTGGGATTGGCTATAACCCAGCCCAGAAACAAATTGACAAATAAAAAATAAAAATTTAACCCAAATTCATGGTGGAAATAAAAAGGAATAAAAATTTAGAGTTAAATTACATAAAATCAGACATTTAAGTTAACAAATTCACAAATCAAATCTAAACTTTATTTATTCACAAATCAGGTAATAAATCAATTTTTTAATATTAAATAATAATACTCCAACCCCCACCCCAAGTGCACCCTATAATTTCAATTTTTAATTTTCTGAAAATTTTTAAGTCCTCACAGTGGCAGTCAGAGTGATCGCTGAAACAATCGTCGAAGTGGTAGCCAAAATGATAGCCGGAACAGTCGCCGGAGCGACCGTAAGAGCCGATGACTGTCTCCAGTGGATAGGTGGAGGAAGGTGGTGTAGTGTGATGATAGGATGGGAAAGGTGGGGTGGCATTGGTAGAAATAATTAAT